TACATTTTATATCTTTAGATCTTATACTAATATACGTATAATTTTCTAATAAAAAGTTCATTAAAACGATTTTGATTAATTATCGAAAAAGGCTGACCATTATTGAAAGTTGTGGGCCAACTATTTCTGGCCACTTTGTATATTGAACGGTCCATTTACAAACAAGCCAAGAAAATTTTGGCCAATTTACAAACAAGTAATAAGACCGGGTCTATTTATAAAGTGGCCGGCCATTTTATAAACGGACCAATTTTCCAAATTGACCACAACATATATACATATCTGAATATCTGAGAAAGGATTAGAAAAGAAGACTAACGATATCAGAAGAACAGACAAAATACGGCGTTTGCCCTTCATCAGACTAATGACGTCAGTAAAACAGATCGGAGAAAAGTAAAAACATGGTCTCCTTATGTCTTTTCATCATGCAAAAAGTATGAAATGAGAACAACAAAAATGCTAAACTAAAACGAAGGACACTAATTAACAGAGTCATCTCTGTATTTTTTTAGTCTGTCAAGAAGGGTCGATTCATTTATCAAATGAAAAAACTACGAATTGAAAATAATGGCATTTTATGCACTTTTTGAAAAAGACGATTGTATCAAGAATCCGTTGTCTATTGGTATGTGGTCGAACGATGAAAAAAGATCGCAAAAAGCCAACAAAACTAAGGGAAACGATGAGCATCTATGTGTTATTTCTATAGAAACAGCGTTATCGGAAAGGTATAGGAAAATTAGGTAAAGAACATAGAATTTATGTTCCTGCCATCGCATCTCAAGGCCTCGTCTACAGTATGTTTCCAGAGTTATATTAAACTTTATGTTTTAAAATTTGTATTTCTTATCTTGCCGGTTAATACTAATAGTGTATTAAGCTTTTCATTACTGATTATTTGTTCCCTTCAAGAAAGTCAATAGCAGCAAAGCAGTAGATACCTCTAAGTGTTTGTAACAACATGGTAACACCTTTAACTGGTAGACAACGATAAAAAGCTTTTATCAATCCAGTTCTCGACATGCTACGTCGCATGTGACATTGATTTTAGTCCTAACTGTAGATTTGGTTGAACACCCTTTAAATTATTATAGATGTATTGTTCTCATCCAGTATCTTGTACCTTTTATTCGTTTCGACTAGTTTTTGCCGTTTTCGTTTTTCTTTTCTCTCACTTTTTCTTTTCGTTTATGTTTTAAACACAGATGATATTTGTATCGAGATTAAATTCCTGTGAACTTTTTTTTTCTTCATTATCTTTCTTTGAATAAGGCGTCGAATTTGTATATGTATATTAAAATGATAAAGAAATAAATAAAGATCAAGACATTCACTTACACATACGTATGCACACTCAATTCTTTTTTTCCTTTTCTTCTTTACCTTTTCTTTTACCTGAATTGAAAATAATCTTTTTTGTATATTAGTGAAGAAACGACAAACAAGAGAAGTTATATATATTTCTACATTGTATATGTTGTTGATCAGTGCATAAATGATTATATGACAATGAAGTTTTAATTTATAAACAATGGAAAAAAGAACTGCATGCATTCTTTTTAAATTTTTTTAAGTTTTTCATTGGTTTATAGTTGTTTGTATTTGCTTGCCACAAAATGATTAACCTGGAAAATATTGAACATAATAAATGCATAAAATCATTTAAGCAAAAAATTATATTAAAACCGTATCCGTCATCATTTGCATCATCAAATAGTTGGTCAAATAAAGATCTTGATCCTGTACCACCTCAAGAACGATCATGGTCAAATCCATTTTATGTCATTGCCTATTGGATATCAGATGCATTTACAATATCAACATGGTCAATGGCTAGCTCAATGATTGCATTAGGTTTAAGTTGGAAAGCAGCATTTGCAGCTATTGTTATTGGACATTCAATTATTGCTATACCTATGTACGTACTGTTTTATATAATTAAAGCGCTCCATTAGAACGTAGGACAGGAAAACTGTTAAATGAATATAACGATAAACTAGCCCACTGATGCCGTTTCACCTGCGATCTGTTAAAATGTTTTTAGAGGAATCGAGAATTGGGCCTGACTTTTAAATAAACTACTGCTGTAAGACATTTTTACAGACAAAAAAACGACTTTCTTTTTTCCAAACATTCAAAAGCCTGTTGAAAATCACAGAATAGTTTACAAAAAAAACAGGAAAATTTTCTTTCATAGTACTTGAACCGGGACTTTGAAAAAGCCGTTTATCGAGATTGGCAAATCTTTCCAGGACTGGTTGGAGGAGAGTGATTGTTGTGGTAGAGCCTAGTTGGAAAAAGAGTTTGAATAAAAAACAAGCAGAAAAAAGCGCACAATAAATAGGTCCCTATTTTCGACTACTTTTCGTGTCATCATTTTCGATTCCAGCTATAACCGAATTATAGTAAAACTTTTGTTTTTCAAAGGTCTCATGAAATTCTGTTGAGATAAAAAAGAAATTAACCAATTAAGATGAGTTGTGAAATAAAATGTAACCTGCAGAATATATCAATGCCCAGTTATGAACTTTGCACAGAGCACAAGCATGACCTTTTTTTAATCGCTCCTCCTTTTTGATCCTCTTGAAAACCGGGGAAGTCGAAGTTCGATCGGGGTGGAATTTACACCAGAGATAGAACATCGAAAAAGAAATCCGATATACTTTTGCCCAGAATTTTTTGACCTGTTCTCCTATGGGTTTTCTAAAAAACTCTAATTTTCATCAGGTCACATTATGATCGCTCTAAAAAATGATCCGATCGCGATGAAAATTTTACCATAGATACTTTAAACGCTATCTCAAGTTCGTTTTTCTTTTCGAAAAATATGCTTTCTTTCACGAGATATTCGAGAAATACTGAAAATCCTGTATAAAAAACAGGTTTTTTATTTTAGAAATCTTCTCACGCCCTAAGCTGAAATCGAAAAATCTTAAAAAAAACGAACTTGAGGTAGGGTTCGAAGTATCTGTAGTAAATATTTCAGTCCGATCGGATTATTTTTTCGAGGCGTTATAATGCGGCTGGATTAAAGGGACTAATGAAAAAACGCTCTGTTTTCAGGGTATTTACGGTGATGCTTTTATTTCCAGGAAAATTGGATTATCCTGCCATCGTAAATCCAGTTTCATAAATCGCACATTTATGAAACTTTTTACATCTTTCATAAAATTTTTCGTTTTTATGTAACTTGTGGGTTTAAAAATTCAACATCCGAGTTTTCTAAATTTTATGAAACTTCTTTCCAAGTTTCATAAATGTGTGACTTATGTTGTTACAGGTTAAATTAATTTAGGTCTTTAGTTAATTGTAGCATTAACATATCACAAAGAGACATATAATTTATACAACTGGTATATGTCACGTAGAGACGTGTGTTTGTGGTGTTTTAATTGAAAGTAATGATTTATTTAATTAAAAACAGTATCAATGTATCTCTAGGTGCTATGTGAAGCTCGTAGAGACCAAATAGAGGTGCTAATATCTCACCGGGATAGGTATGAGCTATAGACTGATTTAAATAAAAATATGGAATTTTATTCTAAAACTGTATATACAAGTTTCTAAGTGAGATATGAGTCTCTCAGAGACATATACTTACTCGTACAAAAATCGATATTTTTATTCCAACAGAACTATGTATGAGTCTCTAAGAGAGGCATAAGTCTCCAAGAACGTCTCTTAGAGACATATCCAAACTCTTTTAAACGAATAAAAAGTTGTGTCTTTATTGTGAAAGTATAGAAGGTAAATTCAAACGTGTATTAGAAAAACATGTTTTGTAAATCTAAAAATTATTTTTTGTTGTATAGTAACAAACATAAATAGTAATAAATAGTATAGTTATTAGTTTAAAGTGTGACTGTCGCTGTGTGGCTACTTTCTTAAATTGAGGAGTTTGTCTATTAAGCAGCGTAATGAGTTTGTATCAGATATATCCGTATATATGAACGGGAGAGATGTGTAACTTTGTGAGTTATGAGTAGCTTAGTGACATTTTCTAACTAAATCAACTGAATAAAAATTCCATGTTTTATTTTAAAAGGACTGAGAATCACTCGCTCAGAGACCCATACGTTGCTCAGAGACATACTGTTGATATTAAGAAGCTCAGCGACAGATTTTGACTTCCTTACTGTTCAGACATGTGCCACTATGAGACTTATACTAATATATTACTGTAACAACCCTCTTAGAGGCATATGCAGTTACCTTAATTCATCAATTAAACCAATTTAATTAACAATCATAGGTCTGACAGAGACATGTGCTAATTAATTAAGGAAATTTTTCTCTGAGAGCTATGTTAAACTTTTTATAAAACAAGTAAAAGGTTTCATAAATTTTTTCATTTTTCTTGTAACTTGTGGGTTAAAAAATTCAACGTACAAGTTTCCTAAATTTTATCAAACTTTTTACAAGTTTCATAAATGTGTGATTTATGAAACGGGATTTATGAAGACAGGATATCCCCGAAAATTCTCGAACACGCCTCATTTTGAAGAGCACACTTTCTTCTGTTATGTTATGTATCAGAAAAAGGAGAAGATACCCTTAAGTCAAATAAATAATTTCACTAAAACAAAATTTTTTTTGCAGGAATGACCAAGCGATGCATCCATCATACCATTGATGCAACTTATATGGGAAAATATCCGGTAAAAACTGAGGTAGACTAGAAGGTAGATGGCTAGCGCGTATCGAACATTCTAGGCAATAATTTTTTCCATGGGAATGAATAACATTTTTGCCCTTCAGGCTCAATCGCGATAATTTTTTCTCCAGTGAGCAGGCTAAAGATAAAGGATTTTTCTACTGCTACTCTGTTCAGTTGTCCGAAAAATGAATATTTCCACTTTATAGCGGTTTTCGCTCAAAAATTCGTGTATGAATTTTTTCACAGTTTTAATCGAGACAAAAACTTGTTATTTTGGGAAACGATAGATCAAACACTGATGTCTTTAGTCCAGTTATTAAACTTTTGAAAAAGAAGAGTTTGATTTTTTGATGAAATGTCTGCAAGGGGAAAGCACGGAATCCTGAAATTCTATGGAATCTAGTAGAATCCGGTGGACTCCGATGGAATCCGGGATTCTACACTTCTCCCGAAACAGAACAAAGTGTTCTATATTTTGGGAAACTTTCCCCAAAACAGAACATTTTGTTCTGTCTTGCGGGGGAGTTCCAGAGAATCCAATGGAATCTTATGGATTCCAAGAGAATCGTACGAAATCCTAGAAAATTCGACGGACTCCTGGGGAATCCAGGAGAATTCAGGATTCTAGGATTCTGTGCTTTCTCCCTTGGATGTCTGACTAGTTCTCTACTGTGCAATCGAATCCTACAGATATTTGTAGCACATCTCTGTTCGATTTTTCCTATTTTTCTTCCTTATAGTTGTCTGAATGGATGGGCTGGTGCATATTTACATGTTTCATTTCCGGTGCTCACACGTGCATCATTTGGTATGATTGGCAATTGTTTTGTTGTTGTATCGCGTGGTTTTTTAGCAATTATATGGGGAGCAGTTCAAACTTATATCGGTAGTGAATGTATTAAACAAATGGTTAATGCTATTTGGCCAAGTTTTCAAACATTTCCAAATCATTTACCAAAAAGTGCAAAAATTACATCAGCTGGTTTATTATCATTTTTAATTTATTTTCTTATACAATTACCATTTGTGTTAATGCCAATGAGAAAAATAAAATGGTTATTTGTTGTTAAAACAATCGTTATGCCAATAGCTACAATAACCATACTTGTATGGGCTTTGAAAACAGCAGGTGGTACAGGACCAATTTTAGCACAACCAGGTGTACTTGAAGGACGAACAATGATTTGGGCGTGGTTGTCATCATTGAATTCAGTATTAGGTAGTTTTGCTACACTATCATGTAATATTGGTGATTTTACACGTTTTGCACGTAAACCAAGTAATACGTGGATACAAGCACTGATTATTCCCTTCGCATTTTCGGCATTTGGACTCATTGGTATTCTTGTTTCATCGGCATCAGCTATAATTTACAATGAAGGTATCATATGGGATCCAACAATTTTGATTGGACATTTTGATTCAAGAGTAGCAAAATTTTTTGCTGCTTTTACATTTGCACTGGCTACACTCGGTACAAATATATCAGCAAATACCATATCAGCAGCGAATGATCTTTCAGCTATGTTTCCTAAAATATTTAATATTCGTCGTGGTTCATTTGTGGCAAGTCTTTTAGCATGGATATGTGTACCGTGGTATATACTTAGTAGTGCAGAAGGTTTTCTTGCATTTATGAGTAGTTATAGTATTTTTCTTGGTCCAATTGCTGGAATTATGGTTTCCGACTTTTGGCTTGTTCGTCATGTTGGTCGAATTCAAACACCAGAACTTTATCGACCACATGGAAAATATTGGTATTGGAAAGGATGGCATTGGCGAGCATATGTATCTCTGATCTGTGGTACAACACCTAATTTACCAGGATTTCTTCACCAAATATCACAATCAATTAAAGTTGGTAATGCCATTTATATTTTTTATGTTGGTTGGTTAAATTCATTTATTATTAGCTTAAGTCTTTATTGGTTACTATGGAAAATTTGGCCAGCACATGATATAGGTGAAGCGATACTTATTGACGATGTCATTGATTCGAATGATGGTATCGACAAAAATAAAACTATAAACGAAACTGTTGTAATGACGAAGAAACCCTCAGAAAATACCGACCTCGTAAAACATTTTTTTTGACTTGCTAATTTAGAATATCTAATAAAATATAATTTTTGAATTAAATAAATAACCAAATAAGGTTCACTTAAGTTCATTTGACCTTTTGTCTAAAACGGAAAAACATATCTAACAAAAGTTTGCGACATCATCGAAATTCCTTGGCAGCAATGAAGTTTTTGAAACTGAACTGGAAACTATGGAGAAGAAGCTTCGACTCTAGACATCAATTCATACATAAGCATTGTACAGAAATGTGGTAAGGATCTTGCTAGCTTCTTATCTGCTTTTGTTAAAAATCTTATCCGATAGTAAACGGAATATCGACAGTTGGAATTTCGTTATCGAAATTTTGTTTTTGTCATTTTGTCGTGTTTGCTCAATATTTTCGACAAATTGTTGAAAGTCTACCTGATTCTAAGTTAGTCTGATTTTCAACATTGTCGAATTTTAGGTTGTTTCTCGACTATTATCTTAAGTTTTTGTAATTTTGACAATGGTCAGAAAAACCATTTTTACAGTGGTACATTTTTTAATTTTAAGAAATTGGAAAAGAAGAAGTTTATATGATGATAGAAGTGGAATTTCTACGATATCAAGCATTTTGCCGAGCAACATGAATACGCTACACAGAATCTGCAGTCATCTAATAATTCACAATTGAAAACAAAATAACAAAATAAGACTTTTCTTTTTTCTATTCAAAATACAGATCCCACAGAGCAGCCAAAAAAATAATAAAATACTTTTATCTGTCTAAAAAATATGTTTAACCTTGACGATAATATATTATTATTTGCACATATAATTAGTTGTCTGAATTGAAGTTCTGTCCACTTCCAATGAGAATAACATTACTAGTTTCAACTTGTATATTGTTCTGTAAATTTTCTGGTGGATTTTCATAAATATGGCTAATAAAATTATCAAATTCCCATTCAAATGA